TAGATTTAAGTAACTTTCGAATAATTTATAACGGTTTAGTCAGTAAATATGCCATATTTATTCGGAGTTTGACAACACCTTAACCAGTAACATACTTTATGATCGAAATGTGCCAACCCAATGAAATCATAAGTCAGAAGCGAAGAGTCTAGGAGATACATTTGATAGAATATCGATATTATCGAGAAGTGACTAATCTAAGCTGGCTAGCAGTCGTAAAATTGGTGAAGCACGGCATACTCATACGTGAGCTGGTGCGTATGTGTGACCGAGTGCTTTCAGCTAGGTGATCAAGTATCGAAGACTTCAAGAGCTATTGATTTTGGGGATTTATTTACCGCTACAGATCACTTCTAATATTCGGATAATGATGACCCTAAGACGTAACCAACCAGGAGTTTAAACCCGAAGCATTCATCAGCGACAAGCACTCTTGTTATGTTCATCAGCGTATGGTGGTCTTTCCTTACAATTAGGGGACATGTGTTAGAATATAATAGTGAACTGGCATAATGAAAATTTCGATTCATCGTAAACGTCGTCTGATTTTCATCTTTTTCAGCCGTCCTGAAAAGGAAAAAAGAACATGTAAGTGCATGTCGAATAACATTCGTACGTGCGTAAAGTCACAGAACGGGTGTAAACGGAAAATAAACTCATACATATGCGTTCCATAAACATGCAATAGCTAGAAGAGATTTTTGCAGAATGATTGTTTGGTTTTTCAAAAAAATAAAAATGTACACATACATGCAAGCATATTAGCAACAAAAAATTGTTCTGTTTAGAATATATATATATGAGCACATTAAAGATATTTTTTTGTTGTTGTGACACGATACAAAGGAAGATCGAGACGACCCAAAGTTCTTTGTAGTTTAAGTGTTCTGAAAAACTTTTGAATCGGTTGTTAGATATCATCGTGATGTTATCATGATTGCCGACTATTCTGTGAGGTATCATTATTGTGGAACTCATGCATTCCAATTGAACCGAAAGAAAGCTGATGTGAATACGGATTCCATCTAGATACTAGGCTTCGAGACGATCTATGCTGATGTAATCGTTAGTTCCGTTCATATCGACTGTATAGTAATTAGGATCACGCTGAGGAACTTCGAAAAGTCCTTCGTCTGTCGTTTCGGAAGGTCGTCGAAGTGAGTCGCGATGTACGAAGACGTTTTCACCATATCGTAATGTAGGTTGAACTAAAACATCAGTTAACTGTTATCGTGTAAGAATGGGTTTGACTGAACACAGCGTTTGTAGGCCTGCTCGTATGAGAGTTTGGATCCATGTTCGCAGAAGATGAAGGATTCATGAATCGTCCTGGAAACTGAAGTGTCGCCCCACAAACGAGTTGAGCTGCAATGTATCCAATATCAATTTTAACTGCATTGCAAATTCGATTAAAACGAGTGGAAGTGCGACAATCCGTTGCAATTCATCTGCAGCTGAGAGTGAAGCATGCAATTGTCGATGAAACTGTTCTATCAACCCGTTAGCCCGTAGATGTCAGGCAGTCAAACGGAATCGTGTGATTCCTAGTACTGCAGAAAGACAATAGAAACACCTAGATTCAAATTGTTATCTACAATCTGCTTTAATAGTTGCAGAGCAATTGTAGTCACTGTTTCTGTGGCAATGTACGATTACCCGTACGCTTTCGCGACTAACCGCACAGTCAATAACGGATACGGTGTAGGATTATTCCTATACTACACGCATGCTACACTTTTCTTTTTTTTGATTTTTTTTGTATCCTGAGCCCACGCCTCCGACCATCGCCCGTTCGGTAGCGTCGACTTCAGTCAACTTTGGCAAAAGCTGGTTTGGCCACCTAAGCTCTAGTCAACGCACTCAGTCGATTATCTGGTCTCGAATTCGCCTGGCATACGCTTAGTTGTTATGGTCGCTTCCGGTTTCTTGGCTCAACGTGGTTTCGTCCTACGTCTGCAGCGTTTTCTGGTTCACATCCCTACGAACGCAATCATCAGATTCTGGATACAAACCACTCTGGTGTGGTATGCTAATTCGACCAACAAATACAGCACACTTCTGGTACCGTTCTGCGCAAAAGACCTTCGTTGGCAACTCGAGGATCAACGATCACTTCCTGTTCCGCCAATTTCCTTCGTCCTACAACCGCACTTCTGCCGATCAGTCCCACGAATCAAACCGCTAACTATCGAAAGTGTAAACAATTTCTAGCGGGAGGCTCCTGTAGTGACCTACTTTTGTCAACAGAACGCGATTGGTTCGATGAAAACAATTATTATTATAACCAATTGTACCAGTGACTGTTTTATTGTGCTCGTTTGTTTAACTGTGCTAATGACAACCATTATACTCACTTACTCTCCCGTTGACTTTGAACTTGTACGAATTCGGTTACGCTCAGTAACCACGCTTGTACTCCTTTGGCACGATCTCGGTATTCTTTCGATACCACGAGTTCGCCAACAAATACATCTCGACTACAGCCATCATCTGTCTTCTGATTTTTGGCCTACGGGGATCGTATTGGTCTATCGGCACGTAGTCTGGTAGCGGTGTTCATAGTCACGCTCAACTTGACACCACGCTACAATCTAAACGAAAGTCAGGATCTGTGAAAAAACTCAAGTGACATTTACTGTCTCTGATCACCCCAGGTTTCTGTCAGCTTACACGGAAGCGTGTCCACTCCCTAACGTTTTTATTCACATCAGTCCAACAAAATCGTTCTGCTATGAGCTTGGTGGTTGTTCGGCCACCTGGATGAGAAAGCTTGTGCAATGTATTGAAAACGTTGCGTCGTTCATGTTTCGGCACTTTCGGAAGTTCCCTACCTGTAGGTCTCACACAGTAAGATTTCCTTACCTATTCCCAATTGTTCGAACTGTAGTTCCAGGGATGTCGAAGAGAACTCGTGCTGAAGATCAGGGTCTTCTGAGCTAGTTTAAAGAAGATAGATATCTTGAAACTGTTCGAGGGAGTTATACGAGGCAATATCTACGCGACTACTTGTCTTTAACCCAGAAATGTGATACATATCTGAAGTAAACTGCGAAACGTAGTTTTACTGACAAGACTCTCGAGGGCAGTACTTGTCTCATAGAAGGTAAGAGGCTTGTGATCGGTAAAAGGAGTGAATTCTCGGCCTTCTACAGAATGTTGAAAGTGCCGTACAGCACAATACAGGGCTTGGAGTTCCCTACCGAAAGTACTGCAACCGTCTCGAGAAGTATGCCAAAGGTTGTCAGGTATGGTTAAACCATTGTTGTAAGACTTCTCTGACTGCCGAGTCAGATGCGTCTACTGCGATACTAATGGGTGCTTTGGTGTCCTAGTGTGCGAGCATAGTTGGTTTTGTGATAGTTTCCTTCACTGTCGAAAATCATTTTATCAAGTTCCGTATATCCACGAAGTCTGTCTCTTAAGAGTCTCATGAGAGACCCACAATTTGTGATCAACCGTCTATAGAAACTTACTTAGCCTTTAATCATGGGTAGTTGCCTGATCATGGTCGATTCTGGATAATCCAGAATGGCCGAAACTTTGCTTTACAGGTGGCGGATGCTTTAAGCACCAATAATATGTCCGAGAAAATCTAGAGAGTCGGTGTCGGTTTGAAATTTTTAAATATTTACTGCAATGCTGTGTTTTGGGGGTCATTCAAAGACCAGATCCAGATGTTGAAGATGATATTCTCTGTTAAGAATTGCAATTAAGTACACATCAGCATATGCACGTACGACATTAAGGCCTCAAAAATCGTCATCGTTGAATTTCTGGAAAGTTTCTGTAGCATTTCTTAGGCCGAAATGCATGCGCAAAAATTCAAAGAGACCCAAATTTTTGATGGCAAAAGTTTTAGAAATGTCGGCAGGAGCCATAGGAACTTCGTTATACATTTTAACCAACTCGATTTACGAAAAAAACATTTGTACATTTCAAGGTAGCTATCAAATCGTGAATGTGAGGAAAGTAGAAACGATCAGGAATGGTTTTCACATTCAGTCAACTATAGTTATGACATTGCGGCCATCCGAAAACAAGATTCAGATGTTGGAGATAAGTATCTCGGTGCTGATATGCGATCATTCAGTCATCGGCATATACATGAACAATGTTGAGACCCCTTAATACGGTGAATTTCTGAAATATTTGCTCAGCATTTCTTAAGTCGAAAGGTATGCAAAATCTTTCGTAGAGACGAAAAGGAATGATAATAGCCGATGATATCACGACACGCAAAAAGAAAAAGGGATATTTCATAGTGCAACAAAGAATAGGCACACAGTTTATGGTTTAGTGTACCAGATCATGTCGGGCTCACAACTAAAGATGCTACGGATATTCGGGGTTTGAAAGTGCTTTGTTTAGTAACGGTTTATTAATCAAAGGAAATAGAGCCGATCATACCAGAAGTCAGGGGTGAATGAGTTCAGAGATATATTTTGGAAAGATTATTGGTTTATTGAGAAGCGCTTGATGTAAGTTGGCCAGTACTTACGAAGGATGAGTAGCACTGTGTTCCCACTCGTGATCTGGGGTGGATTCGTGCTCGAGTGCGTTCAGCTAATGTATGTCTAATAAAACTAATGAGGTCAGCATCACTGTTGAAGACCCATAGAGATATTGATTCTGGTGACTGATTTACTTTTACATATATGATCCCGACTAGTCGTTTCGACTCAACGAAGTTGTTGCTAACAACGATACCGAATTATTGACAGTAATTCACTGACAAGCTTCAGAATAACACAAAAACATTCAACCAACTGTTTATTTACCTCAACAAGTCTTACTTTTATAAAAATATTAAAGAGATACTAACAATGAACAGTTAACTGGTACTGGACTTGCCACATGCTGATGTAAAGTCATATTTATTCGAAATAAATTCTCACAAGTGTCTCACTATAATACAGAGGCAAACACTGTCAATATCAATTTTGATGGTTAGGTTTCAATACATTTCAGATGAGATGTTTTGTTTTGCAGAGTCAGTTTTGTCAGTCGCCTTATATTTGGAGGTATTTTAAAAGTCGTTGGCGTTTCTGCACACATTAAATTTTGGGTGTCGATTTTACTTCCCTCCTAAAAACCGAACGTTTTTCTTCCAACACAATATGGGTGATATGGAAAAAATATTTTACGACTTTTGTGATACAGTCAAGAAAGGGTCAAGAACTGCTACAGACAAAACCATTAAAAAAATCTGTACTGATTGTAATATCTATACGAAATCATTTAATGCAAATGCCGTCGATATTGCGTTTTGCAAACATCTTAAAAGTGCCAAAAAAGACGTTGACTTTTCTGATTTTGTAAGATTTGTCGAAGGAGCAATGGCAGAAGAGTATGCAAAACAAAAAAATATATCGACAACTGATGCATCGAATGAAATAAAAAACAAAATAATCAGTAGTTCCGGCCCTAAATCTCATGGAGCTACTCAAGCTAGTAAAGATTCGGCGACATCCCGTCTCACTGATGTAAAAGGATATACAGGCTCTCATAAAGAACGATTTGATGCTGAAACTGGTAAAGGTAAAGGAATTGAGGGACGAGAGTATGTCATGGATGAAAAAGCAGCTTCCGGTTATGTTGGAGGCTATAAAGGGAAGAACACATATGACAAAACCCACTAATAGTTGTTTACCTTCACGATGTTAGCTTATTTCATTTCTGACATATCAATAACATAATCTAATTTTTGTCATGATTACTTAATAAATGTCATTCACCGATTTCTCTTCTCATCACAGCTTCTTAAGAGAAAACTGTAATTCTGTTAGTGGAAAGTTAAGGCCTTTTTTATGCGATTCTCTGTACCGGTTCGTCGACTAAGGTGGTTGGAACATGAGTTATGTATACTCAGCCAACCCCTATCTCGACGTAGGGGTCGGTCTATGTAAGCCATTGGTGACTAGACCAGTATTTACTATCCGTTCATAAAGCCACTAACCACTGACCTAATCCATGTTTGTAACCCCAGACTACTTGACTCGTGTTCGCGCAATAACCACTACCATTGGTTGGAGACGATGTATGACATGAAGTATATTAGTTCATTATTGATTCTCGTACTATGTTATACTTCTAAGACCATATTTTCAATATTTTGCATATCTCAGTATCACTGCTGATGCAGTTATTTCATCTTTTTTATTTAGTATATTAATTTCATCTTATATTACTGATATGTTTCAAGAACATAAGCCAATGCGTACTTATTTGAAGATGAAAACTGACTACACTTGAATAATTTACTCTTATTTATTGTTCGCGAGGTTTGTGTAGAGATTTTCGATTCATGGTAATACGTGAGAGTTATCAGGACCAGTGGTTACTGTAGCGCTGGGAGTCGTCGAGTTGATTTAATGAGCTTAAAAACTAATTGAAATTAAATGGAGGACGTTAGATAGAATGAATCAGGAAAAGTAACCTGTGCTGAAAGAAATGATAACAGCAGCAAACTCATAATGTTGATGGTGGTATCAGAGTATTCAAAGTTCACTTAAGATGTCAATTTGGATGGTTTTCAGGCGTATAGAGATCATTCACTGTCTAAAGTCTAATCACTCAGCACCAATTTGAAGTTCTCTACCAAGGGGCTTATTTGAATACCAGAATGAAAATAAATTTAGTCCCACCTTGTTACGTGATTTTAAATAAAAATACTGCCACGTCGTTTTGAAGATCATAATATTCCCTTCACAGCTAGGACCATTATGATCAACTGGTCTTGGTATCTTAACTGTCACTTTACACTTCCAGAAAACAGGAACACAGTAATTTGTCCTACAAAATCTGACCACCTCTTAAAGCTTCAGACCAAAAGTTTCACGGGATGAATGTAATTAGTTGTTTTTGAAAAACAAAACCAAAGAATTGGGTTCAGACAAAAGTAGTAGAGTAGATCCTTTAGTCAGATTGTAGGACTATGAGAGGCGTTACCCAGCTTCATTTCGTGTTCATATTCTAGAAAGCATCTCACTTTTCGTTAATGGTACTTTTTGTCCTTGAATATTAAAAGCAAAATATTAATTTCATTACATCGAAAGAACACCTATGATATTGTTACCACCGTTATGCTTTTTTTTCCAGAAACAGTCCCAAAATTGTTTCATCGCGAAATAAATTGAACTTCTGAGTTATAAACCAAGCAGTCAATCAAAATACTTTGATCCTTTTTTAGCAGATTAAATTCTTTATTATCCTATCTTACCTCGTAATCAAGGACACTTGACGAAGTCTTCATCCATAAGTTTTTATCCTAACCTTCAGAAACCGGAAGGATTAGGCCAGCTATTGGCCTGGTTTCCTCTTCATGTGCATTTGTAAAGGTTCGTGTTTCTTTATTCTTAAGGTAGCAACAAAGTTCCCGTAGCATACCTTGTGCAACCATTTTTCCTGTTTTAATATCTCATCTAAAGTTAAGAGCTGGGAACAAAGCAAGTATTAGAAAAAAGATTTCGGTGTTTTTCAAGTCATTTAAATTTTAACAGCGCATAATTAAAAAAGAACCGTTTTAAATATGTAATAAAATACAATACCACGTGGTTAAAACGCACTGCTAGAAAGAAGGCATTTATATAGAGTATCTCTGAGATTTGAGGGTTGTCCTCTGACCAATGACTGGTAACGTCTACGTTTTTGTACCCAAGCGAGTAACCTCCCTAATACATGTAGGTATCATTACCAAGGTTTGACTTGATAATTTCGAATAAACTGAGCATTGGGTAGATTGTTATAAATAAATAATATATTTGTTCTATCCTAATGAGTAGTAAAATTAGATTTTCTGACGCTTCGTGACTTAGTGTAAGCCACTACTTCAGAAAATAAATAAATAACCAAATCAGAATTGATCCAAGTTTAAATAGTACAAACGGAACAACAGGAATATTATTCCTGTTATTTTCAAACACTTTTTAACTATTTAACAAAACCAAACTGATAGTCCTAGGATTTCTTTAACTTTATTGAATTATATCAGAGCACTGCATGATAACTACAAACATTACGCAAAATAAATCGTAACTTATCAAACACTCTAACTTTAAAAATTTTCGGACAGTTTAAACTAAGTTAATTATATCCTGAAAGTGATTTGTTAATCGTAATCTAAGTCAGTTATAGACACCCTAAATTTAGACAAATTTCCATGGTTTGTTGTTTTATTTGTTATGAAAGCACTCTGAGATTTATAAAGAGAACACCTGATAAAAATTCTGTTCTGAGATGAGAAGTTCACGAAAGCGTTTCAATCTGAAGACTGTTTACACTACAGACTAACTTTAACTGAACGACTGTTGGAAACCTGAAAGTTAGTACTGCTGACGAGTCTCGTACCGCCACAAAACAGTTTTCCAGTATTCCTTAGCTTTCAATTACTGATCAATCAAAATTTAATCATGAATTGAACTGTCTTAGAAATGTATTGATTAAATATATTTAGGAGATTTAATTTCATTCAAATGTTGATATTATTTTTATAACCACTTTTATTTAATTAACTGATCAATCAAAATGACAATAAACGCAAAAGTGATATTATTAGTAATTGGTAAACAATTCCTTAATATTTTAATTGTTATACTGGATGTGTTCAAAAGAGGAGCAAGCATAAATTTAATTTAAAAAATGACACAACGAATTATATGAGTAAGAAATGGTTGTTAGAGTGAAAGTTGATCTTAAGTTCAAATTATCTAAAAGTAATTTGTATTATTTAGATTTACCCTGAACAACGTGAACGTAGATTTAACAGCAAATTAATGGATATACATAAATAATTAACTTTATTGTGTCTGATCCCTATTTTTACTCTACAGATTGATATAAACGCTTGTAATCACATTATTAATGAGATATTAAACAGAAATGATCACAATTGTCTGGAAATTTACTTTATTTCTGTGCGCTTGAAATAAAGTTCAACAGAAAACTGCGATGAATTTAGTCATATTTACAGTCGTATAAATGATGTCAACTTCAGAGGTTAGTAAGTACTCGTATGATTCTGTTTGAACGGGATGAAGTTTTTTGATCCATTAAATCAATGGTACTTTTTCCAGAAATATGATTAACACAGAACTAAGAAACTTCTACAACTTAAATATCATCTATGTTGATTAACTTATAAACATAACATACATCAGTTTATGATATAGTATTATGGATATCTTATGTAACTAGTTAGTAATTGTACCACTCTTGACATAGCTCCATGAAATATAGTTTGCTATTAGAACTTAAGAAAATCTATCTGCAACACAATTATTGGTGACTGTAATTCGAAGTTATAAAATGAAATCTTTGATATTCGCACATCTTATCTGGATAAGAAAAACCCGTTGTTGTGTATGTAGCAGTCTCGACATTTTATTCCAATATGTGATTGGACTTACGTTAATAAAATAGTTGGAGGCACTTCAAAAGAATCCAATGACTTAAATTTTTAAAATTATTAATCCCAATAGCTAACTGATGCTTTATTTATTACGTCATACCGTGCTTCTTATGAAGTAAATACTAATAGAGTTAGATATTACGTTAAATCTTCTGAATTAAATCATTTGAGTAAGTGACTTTCGTTTCTAAGGATATATGGATTTCCTTGAAATCAAGAAGGTATTTTAACAATAAATTCAAAGTAAACCAAACTGTAGATGAGGAGTTTCATATTGAGCTACTTAAGATTTAACATCATTCATTGAGATATTTATTTGACCAGCCTTACGTATTCACTTTTATCACCAATCGATTAATTTAGTACATAACTGAGGATTACAATAAGAACATTTATTATAATTGAGTTTTTTTTTCTTTCGTTATTTCCATTTTGTGCTTAAACTTTATTCAGATAAGTCATAATTAAAAATAAGATAGGTATCTACCTCAGAAAATGGAAGATGGTCCCGCAATTTCATGGATTGGTTGAGGTTAGGCATTAACAGAGTTGGGTGCCGACTCAGTGGTCAAGTGGGTTAAGCGTTCGCTTGCGAGAGTGGAGGCTCTGGGTTCGAGTCCCACGAGCGGGGTCGAGGATGCGCACTGTTGTAGTCCATTACGGCAGTCCAGAGCTCCCAGTTTTCAATGGTGGTCTAACATCAATCGGTTCAAGATCTCAATCAATAACTTAATAATTTCCACAACCCTATACTCAAAATAGAAATGTTCTGGAGAATAAGAGTATCTTGTGCTTGTTTTATTTTTAATATTATCTATTTACACCTTTCTTAATTTTTAACGATTGATGAAATAAAGGGATAATTGTTATTAAAATAAATGTAACAGGCAAAACAAGCATGGCAACTAACATTTATTTTCCTATTTTTGTTAAAAGTCACAATTCCAGGCCACTTCAATCATTTTTCAGCTTAGTGTGACTATCACTAATCCATGGAAAAATTTTGTAGTGTCGGTTACTATGTTAAGCCTATATAACTTATTTTAAGTTTTGGACAGGCTAATTTATCCATTCTTCTTGAGTCATATTTTGACCTTGTTAATTATTCGCTTATCAACCTTAACTGTTTTTATATGAACGTATGTGTACGCACTTCTTATCCTATTCGTCACATATCTGTAACTTATTTTTGTGTGACTATAAATATTGATTCACGTTTAATGAAATGGAGTTGGCTCACACGCCTTGTTCACCTCGCGTCGTTTCGCTTTACTCTCTTCTCTTCGCTTCATTCCTCTGATTGTCTGTTCAAATCAATGAGTGTAAAAAATA